GAAGACAAGTTTCATTTTTCTGGGCGGAACATCAGTGGATGTGGTTTCACGGTTTGGGCTGCCATCGCATGAATGGAACGTCTGGAACTCCTCCGTATGAAAAAAAGAAATTATTTCTTCCGTCATCCAAAAGTCACGCGACGACTTCTCTTTGCTTTCTGACTGGAAATCAGCAAGAAGGTTCCGTTTTCATGTAGGATAATGCACCAGTTCATGACAGTCGAAGCACTCGAGCGTGATTTAGTTGTCACCAAACCGCTCTTTTGCCCTAGCCGGCGAGTAGCCCCGACTAAAACCCAAGCAGGATGTGAGGGGCTCCATGGTGCGTATGATCCATGTAATGCACAATTCCACAAGGTCCGTGAGCTTATTGAGTTAGTCATTGGGGCAGTCGGCCGACAGCCTATTAAAATCTCTAATCGAACATGGGCAACCGTATTTTCCAACTTAATTGGAGAAATAGAGTTCCAGTAGATTACTGGATCAAAATGTACTCATTTTATTGTGCACTTGTTGTTGGAATATTCGATTTGTTCGGTGCAACTTATTTTTGCTTCGTTGTCAGAACGACCGTTTTTGAAAAAATTGACGAAAAAAAGCTCGTTTTTTTCAAGCTTAAGTTTGGTGTTGGCATGCGAATTGGTAATTACCACTTTTCTGTATGAGGGCATTTTTGAGAACGTCGTGTAAGACGGGATTTTGTGAGATTCATGGGTGGAACTATGATTATGCTTCGCAGTGTATGTGTGATCGTACCATGTGTCTTTGAGTACTCCATAGGTACGCCTCGATGTGCTGCCATCGAGTGACCTGCCTTGAGGTGGATTCTTTTGAAAGTTTGAACCTCAGCTCTCAAAAAACCCTGGCGAGAAGACGATGCTGTTGATAGCGATAGATTTCGTGAGAGAATACTGACAAGATTTTAAGTTCAAGAAAATAGGGTGCATACAGTTGCCAGCGTGTCACCCCGAGAGTTGCGCGTGAAATTAAATGTGTCGGGCCGTGAATGCAAACAACTGGGCATATCGCAAGCCGGTTTGAATATTTTCGTAGCAGTGTGCACTCAGATTGGGATACCCTATCTAACTGCTCTACTTAAACTTAAGATTTTATCTAATTTTTAATGGTCCGTTCACTTGTGTGCCACACACCGCCAGACTTAAAGTCACGCGCAATTTTCGGGGTAATAAATTCACTCTGTCTTCCTTGACTTATGACCTTGTGTAGCACTATATCAGTTATACGAAAAAGGACCATGGAGGCTGTTCTAAAGCTATTCAAGAGCTAGAGATCAGAAACGGTCGCTCAAAAAGACCTTCTCCAAGCCTTTCGTGAGTAATCTATCGATTTTGGAATTCGTGGGTGGTGCCAAATACCCTGTTTGACCTGAATCGCCCTTGCGATTGTGAAAATCATGATGTTGTGCACTTTCGAAAAGTTCACTGCCCTGTATTACACGCGCTGATATGCTTGATTGAGCTTGAGCCCAATATTCTAATCACAGCGGGCTCAATATTGTAATCAAATACAGTATGCAAACTGGCCAATATTTTCAACGACTTCTAGATCGCGCACTAGCGTTCATTTCTAAGAGCGGGACCTACATTTGATGTATGCAGGACCTCTCTGTCCTTTCCATTTCGTTGGAAGGATATTAAACAAGACTCGCTACAAGATTAAAATGGACCAGCATAATAAATACCGTGAACACGGCAACCATATGCGACTCCTTCTTCAAATCTGAAATATCGCAAGTCGTGCACAAAATGAGGTGCTGTAGCACTGAACATCGCAAAATATGCCACAGATTTCACTTATATGCATTGCACCCGTCCTATGTTCAAGCCTACGACGACTTTACAATTCTCATTATCTTACAGCACTTTGGCAGTAGTACTGGAGTTGGCTTTTTGTCTCGGCTACCCCTTCAAATATTCCATATAGCATGTTTGCAGATCAAATTCTTCAACTCTCCTAATGTATTCGGTGATTTCTCTGAGCACACTCGAACTCTTCGATTATATCCGCGGCCGGTTGTCACTTTGCAGTCAGAGTCGTTTCTGAGAAGTCGTCCTCAGTGTACTCAGTTCATTACTGATTTATGCAGGTTTCGTTTTTTTTTCATTTCCTCTTGTACGACTTGATAGTGAAGCTCGCAATGAGAATTATAATAAACTTAGCAAAACAGTGGAATGCTCATATAAGATTGCTGAAAGCTGCGCTAGCCTCATATGGCCAGAGCCTTTTGAACAACAAGCAGGCGAACTTTCCCAGAACAGTTTTTCACATCTCATAATTTACCTGTAATACTATAATTGCATGGTGGAGGGGTTTATTGGAAAGTGGCTTACCACGCAGTCAAACTCCAAATCGGATTCTCCTAGGCATTTGATCCTTCTCATCTCTGAGATCAGTAAGTTGCTACCAGATTTGTCTGGAAGCACTGTACGCCTTTACAAATTACTGTGCAGGCCACATAGAATTCAGTATGCCACTACCTTTCTGGATGGCAGTAGACTGGGTGCCGCATCTCAAAGGGCTTGATCAACGGCTAAGGCTCCATACTTTCTATTCTGTGTTATAACTATGTACCTGTAGTTGTTAAACATGTGATGGTAGAGTTGTAAACGGAGAAAAAGAGCTTATACTCAACTTATTTGAAGAAGGTTCTCTAGTATGTGCAGCGCAGTTGTCTATTATCCGCGGCCTCAAAGGCTGCTCCCGGAATCAGCTGATAAACAAAATGCTTCCTCGTATCTGGTAGTCGGGTCCACCGTCGCAGAAAGTCCGCCGGTGATTCGTCACTTGAAATGCGGAATAAAGAGAAGCGTGACTTGCTGCTCTCGGAAGTGCAGCTCCCGCAGTGCGGTGCTGGCTAGGAGGACACTCTCTTGGAGCCTTATTATTATTATTATTATTATTATTATTATTATTATTATTATTATTATTATTATTATTATTATTATTATTATTTTTTATTATTATTATTGTTATTATTATGGTATTGCTTGCATTTATCGTTGATGTACTTCTTTTTCCATTGCGCAAACATGGCAAGGCCACAAAGCGGAATGATAAGTGGCGCTAATTGTACTGTTCCTATCACAGGGGGGGGGGCCAAAAAAAAAAGTCGTTTTGGCCTTCATGACTTTCAAGGCGCTATAAGTTACACTTATTAAATTTTTATCGCGACATTTTTAGCTACCATATAAAGAGCACATTAAATACTATAATGATACTCCGCCACAGCCTTCTGGAGGAGCGCCATCGAGAGATTCGGCGCCCCCCGCGCGAAAGGTGGTGTACACGGAGTTGAGGCCGGAGGTTGTCGATTTCTCCGCCACGGGTAGACCACCTATGCGGAAACTCCGGCTCCGACCAGTAAGTTGAAGGGGATTCAGTCATGCAGGGGCATACTTCAACACTGCATCTTCTTCAAGGATACGAAGCGGCCTTTCATTCGAAGTAGGAGAGAGTTTTTCCAAACCCTTCGAGTATCATGTGGTGGCACCCAAAAACCATGTAGGCAGTACACGGTCTGCCAGAAGGTACGAGCGACAACATGTGGGGGAGGATATGCTTCTCGAGTTGGCTGAAGTGAAAGCGGCCAGCGCTCTACCTTCAGTCAGGGTCGTACAAAGAAATATATCGGTCTTCCCCTTTTCCAGGTACCCCGGTCCATACCATCTAACTCGCGCCTCGGCGAATAGCGTGAAGATGATGTCCTGGACCGTAGCGACGTTGCCGGAGCTGCATCGATGTTTGAGGTCTTGCCAGTATCAAGGAGTACTGAACCTCCCAGGTAGCTATCTGTGGATACTTCATTCAAGAAGTTTGGCACTGTTGGAGGCCGACGTGAATTCAAAGGTTGTTCTGCCAGTCAGGCCGCCGAGCTGGAGATGACTTTCAATTTATGGCGTACATGAAGGCGCATTTGCGCAGCCGTGCTCCACTTATAGAGAAAGATCTTGGTATCTTCCACGCTGGGTACTCATATCCACTTCCCTGTCTGGGCCTGCGAAAACCTTCGGGTGATATGTGCTCGGCCGAAATGACTTTTTTTTGGCCCCCCTGTATATTAAGCATAGTTAGGATTTGCAGGTCCCACTGTACCAGTAGCTCGCAGTGTAGTACAATTGTAAGAGGTTGTTCTGCTGGACGGTTGTTTGGCCTGGAAGTTTTCACAGTAATTCAGCGTGCTCGAGCGCTTTTCTCTTCGAAATCTTGATATCACATGACAGATTTTTTGCACTTTACATCGGAGTCACTAACGCCATGGGCTTCGGTAGTGTGGTTGCTCAGCGCGCTTCATATTACTGCGGCTTTTACAGATGTTCCTCGGTATGTATTGCTAGCGCTCTTGCCGTCTCCCCGATTAAGTTGTAGTTTGTCTGACATAAAACTTGGTAGATCAAGCCACTTTTGGCGGACTCCCGTATTACACTATAGAGACATATAACATTCGTGTACAACTGGATGACTGGTGAGGCTATTCTAGTGAAATCTATATGCTTACATTTGTAAGGACTGAAAACCAATGTTCTGTATTCGGACAGGACAGGGACCTAAAATTTGACTCGTAGGCAAAAAAGAGCGGAGCTGTCTGGGAGTGACATTGGCGTGAGCAGTGTCTGAGGAGCGCTTGGGTCACGGAAGAACCTTCAATATGTTAGGAGTTAGGACTTCTGGTCCAGTGCGCAGAGCTTCGCTTTTTATGATCTCTAGCTGCAGCGTCGTAGGAAGGTCTTGCGCGTCTTTTAGGGAATCGCAAAGATGATGACATAGATGGCTGCGGTATTGCTCACAAGTCATTCTGTTTCTCGTTTTAAGTCTTTTGACAACTTACTTGACGAGAGGCCATGCAGTGGAGAACAGTTCTCTTCGCTAATTGAAAAGCATTCTGACGTCGTTCTTAATTCACCGGTGCGGTTGTATTTACGCAGTGGTTCGACGGATTCCAATTTGTACTGGGAGTTTTGCGAGAATATTGCTTACGGGCTTTGTTTGGTGCTATTTCTTTGGCGGCATTCCGTGGTGGAGGACGCAAAGAAATAGCTGTGATCCAAGCGACGCGTTGAAAAAAGGACGAGAGTGTTGGAAGGGCAGTTGCAGCCAGAGCACGCCAGCGCTCGTGATGATTTCTGCTAAATGCGTGCGTTCACAACAAAGAAGGTCTCGACACGACCCCCTTGTCCACTGCTAATCTGGTAGCTGATAAACGATGTCATGGCAGCAAATAATCGTTTACATGCTACCAGATGAACGATCAACTGCCGGCAGATCCGTACCGCATGAAGGCACTAGAACTATATTGTATGTCTGCCATTAGATGGACTGAAGTGCTGGCGCCTTCATGTTGCATGAATCCGTCAGCAGCTGAAAATGCCGAAACAATGGAAGGTCTGCGAAAATAACGACATAAAAAGGAGACGAGGATAATTAAGGATAAACCGTAAAGAATACAAAAAAATGAGAACATAGATTAAGGATGGACGAGGATACAAAAAAAAGATAAGAAAGAAAATGCATGTGCCAACGGTTGAATATTTATTGTTTTCGGGCATCCAAAGTTGCAGCTGGAGCACGCTTTGTGCGTGCAATTGGAGCTAGCTGTTTCGTGGTACGAATTCAGTTCCAGGCTTAGGCAGCTTTCATACTTCGCAACACCAGTGGCGAGTGGCGATGCGGCGAGTCTAAGCGAGTCAAAGCGCGCCTCAACGCTACTACTTGGACCGCTCCGAGTGCAAGAATCGGCTTAATTTCGAGCTTTTTTTCCTTTTAATTGCATTTAACTCAGGTATGAAAGCTTGTTTCACTCAAGGAAAGGTGGATCCAACTTGATGGCTTCTCTTTTTCATTTTCTCTTTTGATTTAGGATAGAAATGAGCAAAAAGCGTGAGAGCTTCATTCAGGGTAAATTTCTTATTGTTTCTTTTTCCTTCGAGCTATACACGAACTTGTGAAGTTATAATCCTTGATGTTACATGAGAGAGTTAGTTTTTCGATAAATGTTCCAAAAGTTGGGACAGTTCAGTCAAAAGGGAACTTTTAGACATTTATATGAATTGAAACACTGAAAACGAGAGAAACAAAACGAAGATCATCTAGGAAATGAATTTCCCATATCCCGACCTGAAAAAAGGTGAAAACCCCCTTCCTCATATTTCAGATCCTCTCAAGTCCAAAAAATTGTAAGTTTTCACCTAGTAGTCATTACTAAGAGGAAAAAAGTCTTACAAGTTGGATTTCCTTATTAATCAAAGCGAGCGGTCCAAGTAACAACGTTGGGCACGCTCTGTCACGTACCGACGATCGCGGCGATCGCCACGATCGCCGCTGCTGTCGCGAAGTATGAGCGCTGCCTCAGCATTACAAAGCACCCTTTGCTTGAACACTCATAACTTCTTTGAGAGTGGAGCCTCTGAAGAGGGGGAAGCACGTCCGTGAAGTACTATGCGTAGATGACCCAAGGAAGCGCGCTCCCGTCAGAAAGAAGGTCCAAACGTGTACGTGCATCTGTCTATATTTATGACGTCATTGTGGGCGACCATCGTAATTCCTGTCATCGCCCCTTCCACACTTCTGAACTTGCAGGTTGCTTCTGTCTTCAGATGTCCCTTCAGGTGCCCTTCACATCAAGAACAATGAATGAATCTTCCATCATACAAGCTGTACAACATCTGAGTATCGCTGCTCTTCCCATTTTAGAAAAGGTATAGCGTTTGCACCCCCCCCCCCTCTGCTCCCTCGCGGTCAAGTGCGACTTCTTCCCCCCCCCCCCGGTTGTAATTATCAGTGTGTTCTAGTTAATCAACTGCCCGATCTGAGCGGTGTGTCCAATTCGATATGAAGAGTGTCCCTTCAATTTGTGAAATGCCCATTTCGTTTTTAAAAGTGTCCGCTTCGGGATTAAAATGACATATCGACGGTATCAGATGGGAGTGGCAAAATCTTGAAATCACGGAATTTCGGAGGAGAGGCGTTAGGTATTGGCAAAAAGATGGAAGAGATTTATTGATGCACGTGGTGATTATATTGTAGACTAGTTGTTATTGATTGAGTAAAAATTCTGTAGAACAAGGAAGCAAACCTGTGTGCCTCACTCCTTTCCGAACAACTTACAAGGGAACCCCAACAGGTCGATCCGGCCATTTGCAGTGAGATGTATAAATATGGACGTGTCTTGAGCCGCCGAATCCAACTCTGCCCTCCAATTTTGCGGAACGATTCTCCAAAGGGAGTTACGGACCATTTAATCTTAGCTCCGTTTGCTCAAATTGAGAAGGATAACTGCATGCGGCAAGCGGAAGATGGCCTAGTGGACAAGTGCTTTGCTTCAGAGACACGAGGTCGATGTTAGAATCATTAGCTATCGAAATCTTTTGCTTTTCATTCAAAACACCTCCGAGCCCTCCGAAATTTCTATTTGGCAATTTTGCCCAATTTCTTGATTAGTTGCCAACGAAAGGCGGGCGATTCCCCATGTAGGGTTCCTCTTGAAAACTTTTTTATTATGAGGATAACCACATGTCACAAGGGTTTTTGCAATGAAATACCATCATATTCATGTTCAGCGTGTCAAACTACCCCTGGGGACAAATTTCTAGCCGAATCTGATATTTCCACCTAGCTTGGAAAATGTGTGCTGTTTCATGGGTAATCGAAAGCATAGGGGAGCTCACCTACCGTTGGTGAATGGTCTCGAGATGGAACTACCTCGTGGTAAAGAGGACGATGATGCAAACGGCAAGAAGAAGTAAGCCGCGTAATGTCTTTGCGAAAAGGCACATGAAGAGGTATTTCAGTTGGAAAACCAATCATCATCAGTATGGTAGTCGTAGTATCGCTTTGGCTATCAGTCAGCCACAGCTATTCATAACCCATTTTCTCGAAAATGAGTTAGAACCTCGGATTCCGCTGAGATGACGTCTCTAGGGGTTATTTGACCCCCTGAACACGAATATGATACCTGTTTTGCGCGAAGAGCGCTGCGAGTTGCGCTACAGGTGCTAACGCTTTGGCGCTGGCGCGACCGGAAGAAGAAAAGCAATAAAGAAAAACCTCACAACTCCGCTCAGAGAATCGTTCCGCAAATTTTAAAGATAGTCTTGTGTTTATCGTGGCAAGATGAGTACAATGATGTACATTTCGTTGCAAATGGCCGGGCTGACGTGTAAATGGTCCGTAACTCCCTTCAGAGAATCGTTCCGCAAAATCGGAGGGCATTCGGATTCAGCGCTCAAGACACGTCCTATATACACCCCCACACGTCCAGTATAGTATATACACACCCCATTGTAAATGACCGGATCGACCTGTTGGGTTCCCTTGTTAGTGGTTTCCCATTGTTGTATTAACTTCACATAATAATAACTTCTGCTTCTCAACTCTACCGAATTGGATTCTTGATAGAAAATCTGTCAAAGTAGGATAAGTATGCGAGGCGAACCTTTTGCATTCAGAGTGAACGTGCCTAAGTGGATTTAAAATATGTGAGAAAATTTTGTAAGCTTTGGCAGCAGTTCAATAGTGTCTGCAAAATGAGCCTTATAATGTGAAGTTCTTTTTTATGTGCCTTTTATTCATACATTTCATGCGTGAGCATTCATTGCTCTTACTTTTCAGAACCCAGGCTGTAGAGTACTTTGCCGAGTGTTGCTTATGTCCAAAAAATGAAGCATTTGTCCGCGTCCAAGCGGGCATTGAGAGCCCAGCTCAAATCGGAGACAAGGCTAAATGGTTTAATGAATCGCTAATGCCTGTGCATTTTACGGTCAGCGATTTTTCAGGAGAACTATGTTCTCTCCTTTTGTTTCATAGATAACAGACTCTGTTCAGATTTATCAGGATGGATCCTCGCTTTCTTGTGCTTATTATGCACATGCTCATAGTGACGAGCTAGCTGATTCTGCTAGTGATGAAATTGAAACAAACTCTATTCACAGCTCCTCTAGCATAGATGATTTGATATTTGATGATGCAGAAGAGGTTGCGGGTTGGTTACACGGTGCTTTCCATTTCCACCATAGTCTGTTAAGCTGTTCACTGAGATTTAGATCTTGACATTGTTGTCAAACCGTTGACTGAAGTTAACGATGTCTATAAAGAACCGCTGACTTTGGAGCTCCCTCCTGGCGACGGTGTGGCCTCTACTGGGAGCTCCCTAAGCAGCGGCAGGTTTGTTGTTCATCGATGTCATATGATTTCTAAAGTATTAGTTGTAAGGAAAGATTACACAGGCTGTTTGAATCTATTTTGTTTCGCCCTCAACCTTAGTCAGATCAGAGCGTTCAACGTCTCGCTGATGCCACTACAAATTAGTCGTTTGTCCTTTCACTCATTGCCGATTTTTAGGTCCAGTCCAGCATCGTCAGTCTCAGCTTCAGCCGTTGATAGCGAGGCAGATTTTGCAAAGCTCGCTGAAAACCTTGCTCTAAAATCGGATTCAAAGGTACGAATTTAGGTGTCACCATAATGCCTTTCATTTTCATTTCGTTTGTCAGATGGAATCGACTTATAAGTGTGGGGCAAGTAGTGATTTGCTGTCCATAATAGCTGTGTGGTCTGCTTCATAATTACCAACACCTCGAATTTGTGCAGTTGAAGGTTCCTCTAAAACAGTCCCACGGGGCTGTTTGTCGGCGTGGGGGGGCATTTTGTACTATCATTGCTTCCTTAGTTCCGGTTTACATGTCTCACTCTGGCAAAACCTGTGAACTCGTGTGAAGCTGGAACAAGGCCGTCAAGCCATCATCTTAAAACCTGTCAACTCGAGAAGAGGCTGTCTAGATAGGCCGACACATCGATGGAAAGTAGCAAATGTCCAAAATGCCCCCCTCCCCGTCGACAAACTGCGCCCACCTTCGTCGAAAGCTTATTTTTTCGAAAATCTTTCGTGCTTTATACAATCAGCTGACCAGTGAAGTAGAGGAGCGCTTTAAAATACCATTTGCATTTTCTAGATATTCATACATAGACCAGAAAAGTGGGGATCATCTTTACTGCGCCCTCCCTGGAATGCCAGGAAACGAGCGAAGGAGTTTCTTCGAGAAAAAGACTTGAAACATCTCATTGCACTGCTATCCGCTTGTAATTCTAAACACTCACAACGAAATCATCACCACAGTGCAAAGTTATGGGCAAAAGTCAGACCACAGAAGGACTCGAACACACATCTCCCGCTCTCCATGCGGTTGTGTTATCCATTACGGTACCAGGGGCGCTCTTACCCTTTCAGCTCAAGGCTATTTGTGGGCATTGCCTTCCATCGCTCACACGTCCAATGAGGAAGGTCTTTCAGGGCGCGCCCCGCTTTTTCAAAACAGTTTTTTGCATTTTGTAGGGGCTCGAACATTGACCACAGAAGTGGAGTTCATTTTCGCTGAGCGGCCCCAGGAACGCCAAAAAAGGAGCGACGTCTATGTATCGCCATATGAGAGACGTTGAGTGCTGTACTGGCGCCAGATTGCGTCGGCGCCGAAAATAGGTGCCAAAATCGTAATCAGGACTATCGATTACTCCTATGGACGAACTCCCAGCCAAAAATTTTTTTTTGATTTTTTCGGGTTGTGGTAGATCATTTGGTCGGCAGTTGTGACCGGGGTCTCACACCTTCTTAAAGACGATACATGCCGTGGTGTTTTGATAAATTTCTGCTGAATGTGTCCCCTCTATAACGCCTTTTAACTGTTGTCTATGGAAAGCTATCTGTTGAAAATACGCGAGGAGCTCAGGAAATACACTTTTTCGAAACATCCATAACTTCCTTGATAATGGAGCTTCTCGAGATATCAAAGCTGAACCGTCATGCTCCAGGCCTGTAGTTCATCAGCTGCATTTGAACGGTTTTGAAGAGTTTCTTCAAAAGAAATTCCCCGTTGTGAAGCGTAGTGACACTTTAGTGTCACATACGAGTTTTCTTGCTTTGAACATAATTTCCTATCTCCCAGGAAACCAGGTATAGTGCCGATACCGAGAAGACTTCCCTTTTCTGAGAAGCACCTCATTTCAAGCCCACTAAAAAAAGTTCTCCGGACAGGGATAGCCGAGTGGTCAAAAGTGCAGACCCATGTTTGCACTCCGAGCCACGAGTTCGATCGCTGCCGAGATACAATCCATGTCTTGCAAAAAATTGCAAAAATGGGGACAGTACCACCGTCAGGGCCAGATTGACAAGCCGGCTGATGGAGGGACCCGTCACAACACTCATAACAAGTCTCAAAAGTATCAGTGTTCGAGCCAGGACGTCACCTGGAAGTGGCGCGCATAACCTTCGCCCGAGTTCTATGGTCAGTATGCGAGGGCTACCGAGGGATGAAAGGCTCCGGCTAAATAAGCTAATTTGAACTGGGACCTTGAACGTGGTGTCGTTTACCGGGAAGTCTTATGAGGTTGTAGACCTCAAGACGCAGGAATATCCAATTCCCTTGCCTCCAAGGAGCGTGATGGAAAGTTGTGTAGGCCCGCGAGATTGGAAAGAATGTCGAACTCTTTTACAATGGAGCAGACACCAAAACGAATTGCGTGACCATAGTGGTGGCAGAATCCCCAAAGGAATGCGTTTCCTCTGTGAACAGGATCAGTAATTGGATCATGGGAGTGAGAGTGGACACAAAGGATGGGTACTGGGAAGTATTGACCGTGTACGCACCACAATCCGGTCGCTTCGAGGCGGAGAAGTATGAGTTCTACCTGACCCTGGACGAGGCCATAAGATCGATTCCGGAAGATGACTACCTCACCAAACTGGGAATTTGAATGGCCATGTGGGGAGTGACAGAAGGGGTTCAGAGAGGGTGCGCGGAGGTCAAGAAATAGGAGCAAGGAATGCTCAGGGAAAAGGATCCTTGACCCAGCCACAGCCTACGACTTAGCAATCTGCAGCACATTCTTCGCGAAAAAGAAGGCTCAGAAGACAACCTACAGCAGTGTGGGGGGGGGACAAACGGAAGTCGATCATGTCCTGATGAAAAGATCGTCTCTCAAAACCGTCAAGGATATCAAGGTACTGCCTGGGAAGAGCTAGGCCCTCAGCACAGGCCTCAGCTGGCAGACATCACCATAGACCTCCCCAAAAAGTAGAGGGTGAGAACAGAGCAGTGGATTCGGTGATAATGCACAAGGTAGAAAAGGAGATCCTCGGCCGAAGAATACTGGAGGCTGGGCCCCCAGACTCAAGGGCCAGTTCAGGACACCTGAACTACGCAGTAGAGGTCATACTACAGTGTGCAACGGAAGTCCTGGAAGAGACGCGAAGGGATATTGGAGGAGACAAGGCAGCGTGGCTCTGGAACGAGGAAGTCCAGGGCATCGTAAGGCAGAAGAAGAAAGTATACAAACGCCGACAAAAGACAGGGAGTCCAGAAGACTTTGCTGCCTACAAGAGCTGCGAGCGAATCGTTGCTAAGGCCAAGAATACGCAAATGGACGGCCCTGTACAAAAGCTGGAAGGCCGAGAAGGGAAAAAGTTCATCTTTTCCTAGGCTCGGCATCGCGCTGCTCTGGACATCAGGGTGGTAAAGACTGTAACAGGGCCATTTTCAGGAACCGGCCGAAGTCAAAAAGGGATGGGAAGAGTACTCTGAGGGTTCTCTGAACGAAGATTTCCTCGGTAAGAAAAGCCCACAGATAGAGGCGACGGCAGGTCCTGTCAGTCCTCGAACAAAGGATGAGGTCCGTCGAGAGTTAGGGAGAATGATGGTTGGGAAGGCGGGGTCAGTCCAGATGGCATAGCGATAAAGGGCTCAAAGAAGAGATGGAGGGAGTTCTCAAGAAGGACCTCACTGAAGTGAAGACCACGGCAGAAGATAGTTGTTCGGAACAAGTGGCGACGTCTAACAAGAACAGCGGACCCTACGACGGCGCGGGACTGACGCTAGGGAGAGAAGAGAATTGGGAAAAGTTCTCCTTTGTGATTTTGTTGTGAGAAGTTTTATCGCTCCATTCATCCGTCTCACACGCAGAGGTATTGGAAAGGTATATTTTCTAAACATGGCTTTTGCTTCGGTTTAGACAGGTTCGAGCGTTAACTGAATTTTGCTTGTTTATTGATTCATGACGTTGTCGTGAGCGTCTACCGTATTTCTTCTCAGTACCGTTGCCCATTTCTGAGTTTGCAACGTCTTTGTCTTCAGGTGTCTCTTCAGTCACCATAAGAAAAAATGAATAGATTTTTCATTAATCAGTGATTGCACGACGTCTCAGTATTGCTGCTGTTCCCATTTCTGACTGAGCCTACGCTTACAACCCCCCCCCCTCCTTCAATCATTACCCCGCGGGAGCCAACGAGGGGGGAGGGGGAGGGAATTCGGCTAAACCCTAAAAAACAATGATCAACTGAACGCGCGGTGATGGAGACCTGCACTTTACAGCTATATTTGGGAATAGCGGTCCAGGCTATCAATCTTGAGGATGGGGGTCTTCGCAGCTGGTCCACCCGGCCTTTGCAGTCTTAATTTTTGAAACTGTCTGTTTGGGCCCATTACAGTTTTACAACGGTCATTATCATAGAAACCACTTGATGTCTGACAAACCTAAACCAAGATAATGTACTAGAGCGAACTGCAGAAAGAGGGACAGAATCTGAAATACTTGGCCCTCAGAGAATGCTCGATACAAGTCCCCCAACTAGCAGTAGAAGGAACAATAACCGTTATCTGAAACACCATAGAGGCAAAAAGAGGAAGTGAAAACGCCTGAGACCCACCAAATTATCAAGCAAATCCAATACATTCACCAGTTCAAGGCACTGTGAGAGCACTTTTACTCTTTCAAAGTATTCGAGGGTTCGCTATTGTGTAGAGCCAACAGCGAAACAACGCGATTATGTCAGCGATCCGAGAAACCACCTGAAAGAAGCGGCTATCACTTTCAAATCCCACGCAAAAGCCCGCTGATGACGTCGGATAGCAGACGTTGTCTTTCTTGAATTGGAAACAAGTATTGTAAAACTGTCACAGGACATCGGAACAGGAAAAGTTATCTAAGTTCTTAGGATATCTTTTAAAATAGTTAGGAACCTAGAAACTATCTTTTTCATGAGGAAATACTCACTCAAGAAATTAATACCACATTCTGAAACAGCTACTACAAAACGAAACAACTTAACTTCTTGCGTTCTTCGACGCTCTAACGCACACGCTAACTCTCCACCACTCAGTGGTGCGTTGCATCCGAAGCCGTTTTTGATTCTGGCTCTTCGGATGCTTTTAAACATGTTTCTGCGCTTTCGGACCGGTACCGCGGATCGCTGGAATCGAGAGGGCCTTCTTATGAACATGACCGCAAAACAAAGTCGAACATGCAAATATCGCTATCTTCCTCTCTCCACGGGAAATCTGGTCACATATAGTTTGACACACGCCACCTCTCTTATCATATCTATCGCTACTTGATTGATTGTGAACCCTGTGTGACTTATGTCGTAGTTCCAAGATTACATGTGAAGTACATTTCTTGGAACAA